TGGCCTGGCCACACCAGGTGCTATTTGCCCTCCGTGACCCTCCGCCAGCACCTGCGCCGCCTCCTGCCCTGGGGCCTCCTGGGCGCGGGGAAGGGGCTCTGGGCCTCGGCCCCTGAGTCGTGCTCGCAGCAGTAGGAGCGCCCGTCTGCGGTGGAGCGCCAGGTGGTCCCGTCTTGGTGCTCCTTGCAGAAGGAATTGGGGCACAAGTGGCAAAAGGAGGCCGAAGGTTTGCCACACACGTCACAGTGATGCCAAGGGCACACCCACTTCCCTGTAAGGAGACGGCGTGTTACCGGACAGGCAGCCAGTGGCAAGTCCCACACCCATCAGCCGCCTCCCTGCCTCCCTCCCACCGAGAGCGCAAAGGCCAGCTGCCCAGGGCCTGCCCCGCCTGCCTGTGCCTTCTGCTGCCCCGCTCTCCCCTCTGAGGGCCTGGCGCCAGGCCTCTCTCCTGACGCTGTCTGCCAACCTGCTTTGTCATTTCCCATCTAAACGTTTGTTTTTTACAGACGTCTGCCTTTCACAGCGCTGGGGGCTCCTGGTTTCCTGCCGGGGTCACAGCTCTGCTCCCCCTACTGCGGGCCCTGAGCCGCCGGGCGGGACGCACCGAAGGGCCGCTTGCCCAGGCCCAGGCAGGACAGGTGGTAGGCCTTGGTGCAGGACTTGCGGTCGCACAGCACCAGCTGCCCGCCGTCGCCGCAGCGGAAGCACTCGTCCTCCGACTCCTTCTTCCCTTCGCCTTTGGTCCGGCGCCTCCGGCTTTTCTTCTTGGTCTTTTTGCCCTTTTCCTCTGAAGACAGCACGGTGGAGGTCTAGGGGGGAGAGTGAGGCACGGTCCGTGGAAAAGAGCAGCGGGCTGAAGCTGCCCGCTTCGGGGCTCAGCAATCCCTGGGGCTATCCCAGCATCGAAAGAACGGGGTTCAACACGGCAAGCGGCTCCCCACGCCTGTGCTGAAGCCCGTGCAGAGCGAGGAAGTTGCACACAAAGCAACACAGGCATGAGCCCTTAGCGGCTGAGGCCCAGACGGCCAGACCTGCTGACGGGCAGGACCAAGGACACGGGGCTCTGCCCGACCGGCGTTGTGGTGAACATGAGAAAACTAGAGGCTGGTGCATGAAATTCGTGCACAGGTAGGGTCCCTAGGCCTGACTGGCAAGCAGGGCCGATCTGTGGGGCGACTGGCAGGGCGATCGGGGGGGGGGGGCCCCCCACTGGCACCCGCCTTGGCTGGCCTGGGGCTTGTGGGCTGGGGGCAGCTCCTGCATTGAGCATCTGCCCCCTGGTGGTCAGTGTGCGTCATAGCGACCAGTAGTTCCACCCATCATTCTGCAGTTCAGTCGATTTGCGTATTAGGCTTTTATTATATAGGATGAGGGCAGCAGGGATCCCCACAGCAGGTGCCTGTGTCGCCCCAGGTCGTGTCCTTCTGCCACCTCGGGGGGGCTGTGTGTGGAGAGGGTCGTAGCGGATGTGCGAGGGGAGGGGGCCTACTCCAGCCTGACCCGTGTCCTTAGCAGAGGAGGGACACCGACATGGAGGCCGTGTGACGAGGGGCTGGGGCTGGGAGAGGCCGCTCCCCGCCCAGGACGGCCAGTGGCCAGGAGCAGAGGCAGAGGCAGGGGCAGCCCGGGACCCGGGAGCGCGGCTCTGCCGTGGAGTCCCGGCTGGGCGCACGCGGCCTTTACCTTCGGTCTGTCCCCGAGGAACCCGCTGCAGTTGGGGGCGCCACACCGGCACACGGTCTTCTCGTTGCCCAGACAGTCGAGGTTGTAGTTAAACGTCAGCTCTGTCCCTGGTGACGGCAGACGAGCCACATGGAAACACTGTCCGTTTACCATCTGAGCCTCCGGCCGCCGGTGTCCCCACCCCGACGCTACTCGTCCCCACGGCTGCCAATGCCGCCTCGCACCAGACACCACCTCCAAGCGACCAGCGCCCCCCAGGGCCCTCCGACGCGCGGGGCTCAGGCCGTACCTGCAGGGATGTCACACATGGCAAACAGGCCCACACGCGTGTCCCCGTTCACCGTCCACTTGAGGGTCTCGCAGTTGGGCTGGCAGCTGTGGTTCATAAACCTGGAGTAGTTGCCTTTGGGGCCGGCGTCGATGATGCGGTCCTGGAGGCACAACGTAGGGTTCAAGTGCGGCCAAGGGCACCCGCCGGCCGTCTTGCGGGGTCCCCCGCACGAGACTTGCGGACAGCCGGTGTTGTACTGGCAACCGTGGTCTCCTGCGTCCACTCGGGCAGGAGCCCCCAATCCAGTCCCGTTGCTGTGGCTCCCGGAGGGCGGGTCAGGACCACGTGGATGGGACCAGCCCTGGGAGCCGGGTGGGAGCCGAAGCCTGGTGCCCCTTGGCTGGCGGGCACCAAAGGTTGGCACCGACAGCCCCAGATGTACAGAGCGCAGCCAACAACTACAAACGGGCCCAGGACGCAAACACGGCTCCGAGCAGGAGGGAAGACGCCCGCACTCTGAGCCCTCGTCACGGTGGCGCCGACAGTGCCTTGGTCAGAGCCCAGCCGGCGGTCAGCAGCTGGGGCAGCCCTGCTGCCATAGGCCTGTGCTCCAGACCCGGCGTCCCTGAGGCAGAACCCAGAGGTGAGGGCTGCCCGGCAGCAGGGAAGGGTGGGCAGGCCCGCTGTGCCGGGAGCGCCAGGCGGCAGGTACCGAGCGCCAGGCCACATCCAGGCCCAGGCCCAGCGAGGGACACGGACACGCCAGCTCCCCTGCCACGCGCCGTCCGCACGCACCCACTCTCCACGCCTGCACAGCGGACGCCTCACACCCTGTGTGGCTCACTCACGGGGTCGTGACGGACGGTCCCTGACGCAGTGGAGGGTGCACACCGTCCCGGACCCCGCGGGCCCCGCAGGCCCGGCCTGTCCCCACCGCTCTCTCGTGTTCAGATGGTCTCTGTGCCTGAGCAAGTGCCCGTCTTCCTCACAGGCATGTCGGCGGCACAGACCGCTGCTCACTCAGAGCGTCCTGGTCTTGCGCAGCGACCTCCCCTCCTGGCTGCAGCGCGTGCCCGCATCTGCCCAGGTCTCCACCGCCAGCCCGGCCTGGCCCCTGCCTGCCGCCCCAGCCCGCCCCCTGCAGGGGCCGCACTGCAGGCAGAGGGGGCGGGGACTGACGCAGGTCGCGGGACCCTGGTCAGGTGGTAACGAACTCCCGTGGCCTGACTTGGGGGAGATGTGCACTTTTCCAGGCTCCATCTCTCGCGTGCCTGCACCTCCGTTCCCTGACCTCTCCCCCGCGCTCCCCTCACCCAGCTAACAGCTGTCCGACGCCCTTAACCCGCCGGGTGCGTCCCAGCCGGTCCCCAGGACGGCTGCTCGGGGGGCCTGGTCCCCCGGCCGGTCTGGGTCTCCCCATTTCTAACACGTGCTCCGTCTCCCTCAGCGTGGTCGCCTCGTCTCGGGCCCTCACCCACCTTAGCCTTCTACTGAGGGTCTGCTCAAGTCCCCCATCCCCCAAACGCTGGGGCAGGGCTGGTCTGTTTCTCTAAGAAACACTGAGGGTGACTGTTTATTCTCCCCCCGTGTTGGGCAGAGCGGGCACCCCAGCGCTGCCCGGGCGGCACCAGGCAGGAACCAGTCTGCGTTACAGGAGCGACTGGCGCTGTGCACGACACAAGATTAAGTTTAGGCTCTAAAAACTGCCAGGCCCCAGCCCCGCTTCCCCGACCCGGGAGGAGGGCCTGGCCCGGAACGTGTAAGCTCGCTCGCTGCCTTTGGAGCGGATGTGGTCACCAAAGAAGTCACCCCGGAAAGGGCCGTGACTGCGCCTGACGCATCTGCCTCCCCTCCCCCTCCCCCCGCACTGACCACCGCACTGACCACCGCAGGCCCTCCTTCCAAACCAACCAAGTCAGCTCCCTGTGCCGGGGGTGTCACCCCCATCGGGCCCTCCCGCTTCTCCCTGACGCCCAGGAAGAGGTCAGCGCCCCTCACACCAGTGAGCACACGAGGCCCCAGACACCTCCCACCGAGAGGCAGTCGCCCGGGGCAGTCGCCCCCCCGCCCCCCGCCCCCGGCCCCGCAGGCGGCCACCTTGTCGATGGTGAGCATGTAGAAGTGTGTGATGTCGTTCTCCTGTGCGTGCTTGATGCGGGCCCTGCACTCCTCGTCGTCGATCAGCTCGCCCACGTACTCGTTCACGAACTCCCCCTGCGGGCGGAGCACAGGCTGGAGGCCGCCCGGGGCTGGCGGCCC